CACCCAACTTCATGTATGTAAAACTCTGTTGTTTGATGTAGCTAGCCTGCAGCTTACTCACCACCACTTACATCTTGACCTCGAACTTTTTACTATGCAGACAGCCCTTTTCTTTAAATCTATTTTTTGAGATAAAGTCTCACTTTGTAGACCAGAAGGCTGGCCCAGGTTGGCCTTGAATTCAGAGAACTGCCCCTCACTCATGAGATTTTCCTTACCTTAAATCTTATAAATGAGTTCTGCAAGCTTCAAACTTCTTCTGTAGCTTACCAACAGCTAAAGCTTAGATCTGCAATGTTTTCCTCATGACAAATATGTGAAAGGCTTATCACCCACTTTGGAGCTACTGGGAGTTAGTAAAAACTTTGGGGGAAGGGGGGAGACAAGGTTTCTCTGTGTAACCCTGGTTGTTCTGGCACTCACTCTATAGACCAGGCTGGCTATGAACTCAGAGATCCACCTGCCTCTGCCTCCCAAGTGTAGGGATTGAAGGCCTATGCTGCCACCACCGGGCCAGTAAAACCTTTTAAGAGAAAGAACTAGGTGGTCTTCCTATCCTGGAAATGTACCCTCAAAGGATGTCTCACATAGAAGCTCTGTAGAATATTAAGTGGCCTGACCTTATTATCATTGTGGCTCAGGGCACAGGGAGACCGGGTGAGAAGAATAGTGAGTGAGTCAGAGGTATGTTCAGACTCCACAACATTTCCTGGTTAAGTTCAGCCCCTTACATCAGCAGATCATAGCAATCCAAAACAATTAGCATAGTACAGATCTAAATAACAGATACACTAATGAAAAGGTCTGAAACAGTATGACGCTTGCCACAATATTACCAGGATTCTGAACAACAGAAACAAGGAAGAAAACAAGCTGTTTGAAAACTGTCACCAATAAACTTGCTCAACCCAGGGATGCCATAGAACATCAATTTGTGTTATGAAAAGATAGCAACAGCAAAGTGCAACAAGTACAATAAAACATTTGCCTGCATTTTAGTATTCGAATTTATATATTTACACAAGTCTAAATTGTAAAAAGGAAAGTGGTATAGGTAGACTCTACTTTGAAATTCTAAAATTATATTTGTTGTTCCTATAAAACCCTAACTGAAATTATATCTATTGTTTCATAACCCACAATTGCCTTACCAAGTTTTACTGTATAAAGTACTATTTGTGTACAGTAACCGAACTATTACAATAAGTGGTGAGTTGAGGAAAAGAAAAAGCAGAAAGTTTTTTCTAGGCTATTAACAATCCCTTAAAATATCTTCATTTAAATATTATTTTGTCTCTTTGAGAGAAAAATATATCAGTAATAACATTTTTAGATCAACATTTCTGACACCAATGTGGACAGTTAAAACCTTAAAACCTGAGAGAATTTGGGAAGTAATTCTAGACAAAAAGAACAGAATTAAGCATGGTTTCTTGGGTGGGCTCTGTTTGCTAGAGGCAAGTGTGTCCCATTTAAGAGAGGCTTCCTGACTGCTTTAGCTGCAAAAACTTTGCAGCTGTTTTAAAAAGACCCATCAGCAAACACTTACATGGTGTTTGTGAATAGCCAGCAGCATGCTTCTTGTTGGTGGCACGGGCCTTGAAACACCATAGTATTGTGGCAATAAACATGGCTCTGGCCAGTGGATCAAGCTGTCAAAGCCAGGACTTTAATCCTAGCCATAATACTTAGCAAATGAAAGACTCATGTGGTCAGAAAAAGAGATATACAATAAAGATAGATTTAGATAAAGAAAACCTCTAAACGGTTTAGTGTGTTTAGAAATATATATAGGCTTGGAAAAGAAAAGAAAAAGGATAAACTTTTAAAAAGAAAGATAAAGAGAGAGAGAGAGAGAGAGAGAGAGAGAGAGAGAGAGAGAGAGAGAAAGGAGAGAGTAGTTGGGTGTTGTGGCACACACCTTTAATCCCAGCACTTGGGAGGCAGAGGCAGGCAGATCTCTTTGAGTTCAAGAACAGCCTGGTCTACAAAGTGAGTTTCCAGGACAGTCAAAGATACACAGAGAAACTCTGTCTTGAAAGAAAGAAAGAAAGAAAGAAAAGAAAGAAAGAAAGAAAGAAAAGAAAGAAAGAAAAGAAAGAAAGAAAAGAAAGAAAGAAAGAAAAGGAAGAAAAGGAAGAAAGAAAGAAAGAGAAAAAGAAAAAAATTAAGAAAAAGAAAAAATTAAAAATTAAAAATAAAAGAAATAGAGTTTAAAATAAAGCCACATAAAGATGGAAAATACACAGAGAATCTGAATACTGTATGCTATTGTGTTGTCTTTGAATTGTTTGATAGCTGAAGAAGGAGCAACAGCTGCTAAAAAACATTTGATTGTGAATGCTGTTGGATTAATCAAACATATACATTGAAAATGCCCTGACTTCAAAATTTAAGTCAAAAGATGTTACTTTGGAGAAAAGGTTTTGCTTTTGTTTCCACAGGAAATGAGAGGCTGTGGATTCATTCTGGGTTAAGAAAAAGCAGTTTTGATCAAGAAAGACCCCATGAGAAATCTCCGATAGGAGCACATGGCCCAGATGTTTGAGTTCTACATCCAGAACAGCCTCAAGACTGCTGCCTGAGATGATCAAGACTCACAGGATACTCCAGTCAGGACTTGATCATAACTCTAAATTTTCTTTAGGTCCCCATAAGACAATCAGCATCTCCAACAAGCAGGAAGTTTCCTAGAAAACTACGCCCACGCTCCCCAAAACTGGATTGTGAATGTTTGCCTTTGTTCAGAATATTGGTTACAAGTTGTTATGGATAATGGTCAGGAAGAAAGCTAAACAAAGGAAATTAGGTTCAGAGGTTTTGTTTTGAAAGGGGGGGGAGTGCTGTGGGACAATGGTCTTGTACCCTGTAAAGATTTGTCTTTTGTACTTGTTTAATAAAATGCTGATTGGTCAGTAGCCAGGCAGGAAGTACAGGCTTGGAAATGAGAACAGGAGAATTTTGGAAAGAGTAAAGGCAGAGTCTGCAGGCGTTACCCAGACGTGGAGGAAGCAAGATGAGAATGCCTCACTGATAAAGGTACCAAGTCATGTGGCTAACACAGACAAGAATAATGGGTTAATGTACGATGTAAGAGTTAGTTAATAAAAAGTCTGAGCTAATAGGACAATCAGTTTATAATTAATGTAAGTTCTGTGTGTTTATTTGGTACTAAATGGCTGTGGGTCCTGGTGAGGCAGAAACCTTCATCAACAAATATCTTTTCCTCAATTTTTTTTTTAAAAGCCAACAAAAGAGCCTGAAGAATACATACAATCACCACCAAGTAAACACATCAACTGATTTTAAAAGCAAATCTAAATTAAAGCACCACAATAAAGAACCCCAGCAGTTATCAACATACTGACTCTTCATTTCACATCCAAGTTGGAAATTCTTATCATTTCTATTTTCCACAACAGAATCCTTACAGGTCGTAGTTTGTCACACTTACAGATTTTGAATGAAGTCTTTTCCAATCACAGATAGGAGTCCATGAGGCAAACGCTTAACAAAACTGAAGCTATTGGGTGGTGTAGTAGTTTGAATGCAAGTGGCCCCCAAAAGCTCATAGGGAATGGCACTATTAGGAGGTGTGGCTTTGTTGGAGGAAGCTGTGTCACTGTGGGGGCAGGCTTTGAGGTTTTCTATGATCAGGATACTACCCAATGTCTCAGCTAACTTCTTGTTGCCTGTAAGATGTAGGATCCTCAGCTTCTCCTCCAACACATCTGCCTACATGTTGCTATGCTCCCTGTCATAGTAATGGACTGAGCCTCTGACATTGTAAGCAAGCTACGCCAATAACTGTTTCTCTTACAAGAGTTGCCATGGTCATGGCATCTCTTCACAGTAATCAAAACCCTAAAACAGGTGACCACTAATCAGTGTGATAACCTCAAATCATTAATAATTTCAAACTTAAGACTCTAACATGTGAGCTGAGATAGGAAAGTTGGGATTATCTACTTCTACTGTTGAGCTGGCTGAGGACTTTGTGAAATTTCTGACAATTTGTTATCTTGTGCTTCAGCTTTCTAATTTCAAATGAATAAGTCTTTCCTCATCTTACTATTAAATTAAAATGAAATTACACCTAAATAAAGCATTTAAAACTGTGAGAAGAAACAAAGAGTTAAATGAGAAAATTCATTTTAAGTATCCATAGTGTTCAAGGATTGTTATGCTGAACAACTTGACTGATCAAGAGTTTAAATAGTTTCTTATTGACAATCAAGAAACTGTTCACTGATAATAAATCAGTCTAAGCCAAATACTGTGCTCTCGGCTTTTTTAGATGACTAAAACACAAAGAATAGTTGGTAACTGGTAAAGGAAGATAAGAATACTTTAATTCCAAATAAACACAATGATATAAATGCCATGTAGCTATATTTCTATATTGTGTATAGTATACTGATACAAATAGTTTTTTTTAGATAAATGTTAGAACAAAATTGCTACTTGTTCCTTTTATCATTACAAAAATCAAGAGTAAAACAGAGAATAAAAGGAAAAAAAAAAGTTTTTAGCAAAAATCGAAGACAAATTGCAAAATGAGTAAAATGGCTGCCCAAAGCAATAGAGAGGAAACAGGAGGACGTGCTGTAGGGAGCACTGCATGCGGGTGTCAAAAAAAATAGAGGGTGATGGCTTAGAGCAACATAAACAGGGTACAAAGGCTTAAACTAGAGCCACCTAGGTGTTTGGCCCTAAATAGAGGACTGTACTAAATAAGGAATCACGTAAGTAATGTTTACAGAGAAAATTGTCTCTCCATGGCTACGGGTAACAGGAGGCTGTGTGATTTATCTATCTCCACTGGCTAATAAAACTGACAAAAGAAAACAAATGACAAAGAGTCAAAGAAAAACACAAGAAATTGTTGACAAAGAACAAAAGAAAACAAATACTTTTACTAATTAATAAAACATAATTACACAATCAGCTCTAATTTGGAACTTATAATCTCTGATAAACCAGCATAACTAATTACTTACCTCTGATTCATATCTCATTTTTTCTTCTTCTGAAACACGAGCAAACTCTTCTTTCTGGTGCTCGAACTCTGACTTGAGAAACGTGTGCTCATAGCGCAGCTTATTGTACTCGGCTCTATACCTTTCCACCTCCTAAATCACAGAGAGATTGCGACACGTGACAACTCTGAAAGTGACATTTGTGCCCTCTCCCGAAATCACTGTACAGTAGAACTTCTGGTTTATTAACAGCCATTCTGAAAGGAAAGATAAGCTTAACAGAAATGTAGATGAGCGCAAGGGAGTTGGCTCAGCAGTTATGATGCTGCCTGCTCCAGAGTTCTGATGCCCAGAACCAATGGGAACGCTTGGAGGACCTTAGGGCCTGCTAGTAACTGCAGCCTTCAGAAGACAGAGAAAGGACCACAGGAGCACAGGAGCTAGACCAGCTGACCAGAGAACCTGCCTTGTGAATAAGGCAAAGAGTAATCAAAGGATCCTGATACCAGCTATGTTCTCCACACATGCACTTCAACATGTGCCCACCACACCCACATGCAAGGGTACACACACACCATGCACATGTACACATTTTACCCATGAAAAAGGAAAAAGAAAAAGAAAGCAGATTAGTATCCTCCTTGGAATGCATCAATAAGATGAATTACCATTCAAGTTACGCTCTGTCTTCACAGACTCTCACTGTGCTATCAAATATTTAATGTCACAAAAGTCACCACCTCTGAACTAAAATCTTAGTTAAGAATGTGGCATGCCTTTCAAAATATGGCTAGATTTTAACAAGTGTAACAAAGTATAAGACATCCCTCTCTGAAGGACAGACTAGATAACCTCAAAGTAGAAAAAACTTATTTGAATACTTAGTGTCCTAACTTAAGGCTTAGTCAAATATTGCAACCGTTCAACTCAAACACACTAGCCTGAAGAACACAACATTCCACCGCTCATCATCTGCCAGAAACAGCTAAGGTGCTCTAATCTTGTCACCAAACAACCTAGAAATGCTGCTGGCACTCTGAATACGCAAAAAGAAACTTAGGCAACAGAGCAGTCAGGTATGGAAGACTCTATTTCAATAAGCACCAGGAAACTAGGTAATAATGAAGTAAGACTCCTAAAATAATAGTTTGATAATTTTTAGCTGAAAGACCTCTAAACAAATCTATAAACTAAGAAAATAACTGTGCTGATGTTAAACAAAATACATACTAAGATTTTAAAACCTGCTCTTATCTAACTTGAATACCTACCCTTGGTATGAGTAATTTTATTTATAAAAAATTCAATCTACTTCCAAAGCATGATAACCTGCCACTAACATATATTGCCATTAGGGGCATATTTGAAAAATCAGGATATCAATCAATAAATCATTACAAAAGAGAATTTTGCAAGTCTTCCTGCACAATGGCAGTATTTTAAGATTACTCCAATTTCCCAAAGGGGTCCATTTTGAAGGAAACAGAAATAATTTACACACGTAAGAACTCATAGATTTGTTAAAAGTTAGCATATAAAATATTTAGGCCAGTAGCTAACTCATTCTCTGTAGGTCTTTCCTGTCCTCTTTATCAAACATTTAGTAAAATAAGAAATCTGGTCTCAACCCAAAGTAAAAATAGGAGTACTTCCTTTTTGAGGTTGTGTGATGTTAATACCGATTGTCTTTGGCAGAGTAGAATCATCTGGAGAAAGGCCTCCAAGCACACTTCTAGATCAGGTTAGCCTCTGCAAACACCTGTGAGGGGTTAGCCAGTGTAGGTTCACTGAGGGTGCGAAAATCCACCTTCCAGTGAGGGCGGCACCACTCAGGAGCAGAGAGCTAAGCACAAGCATTCATCCTTCTCATTTCACTGGCTAAGGACACAGTGGACAGCTGCCTCAGGATCCTGCTGTCTTGCCTTCCCCATCATCATGACTGCAGCCTCAAACTGTAAGCCAAAATAAACTGTTTCCTCCCTAAGTAGCTTTTGTCAGGGTAGCAAAGCAACAGGGAAGTAACAAATCCATCCTTTGAGTTGACAAATATCATTTCTCCTACTGTATGTTAGGAACCATTCTCAGGAACTTGTGAACAAAACACAAGTTCTTCCTTGCATCAAAAGAAAGGAAGTGCTTAGAGCACTCTATTGTGTTTTCCATTCTAGAAGTGCTAAAATGAAAGCCACAATAATTAGGCAAATTAGCATATTAAAAGGTACAAGTATCACAGAAAAACAAAAATAGTGAGGTAAGTAAACTCCAAAAGTTTAGGACAGGAAAGCAGGCTCTCAGGCTGCAGTATTTAGCAGGGAAATGGAACAGGAAGCAGTCAAAGAAGGTTTAGTGAAGAGCTAACATTTTTGGGCAGATTTGCAAGAGATTAAGGAGTCAGCCAAAAGAGATCTAAAAAATATTCAAGGCAGATACAGCACTAATGCAAAGACTCTTGAATCCCACCATTTCTTGAATACCAATCAAATGTCAGGAGGCAAGCATAGATGGAGGAGGAAAAGAGACAGAGATAATGGAGTCCAATCCTATTAATGCCTCAGAGACCACTGTAGGAACTGGCACGGAGAAGATTTAGGTAAACCAAGAATGCTTTCCAGGAGGGATAAAGAAGAGTGCAGTTATCCTACCTAATTACTTACTTCATCCAGAGTGCGGAAACGCTCTCGCATTGGAGCTTCTAATTCTTGCTGTATTTGGGCTTTTACCAATTCCAGTTTTTGTGGTGTTAATACCTAGTACATAAAAAAATACAAACAACTATAAATACAAAAATGAAGAATTTCAAAGTCTCTTCTATGACAAGTATAATTACAGACATTTTTACACTTTGGTTAATTTGTATAATCACTAAATACGACTTATCAGAGCTGGGGGAACAGCTTAGCAGTAAAAGCACCTGCCACAAAGGCAATGCCTCTAACTCCAGATTCAGAAGGTGGAGACAGGATTCCCCAAAGGGAGCTGACCAACAAGACCAGCCTTTATCAGCCAGCACTGAGTTTGACCTGGATCTCATCTCAATGAATAAGGGAGAAGAGCAATTGAAGGTAATTCTCAGCATCAATCTCAGGCTTCCACATGCATTTGCACATACATGCATGTGTTCTCACACATGCTTTCAAATGTGTGAAAATCTGCATACACACACACACACACACGGGTGAAAGAGAACAAGATAAAAACAACCAATCCCTGAAATAACAACTTAAGAATCTCAATTTTGGTATCAGAGATGTCAATATGACTAATGAAAAAAAAAATCCACTTATAATTTTTATACTGGGCCATGATGGCGCACATATCCCAGCACTGGAAGGCACAGGCAGGCAGCTCTGAGATCGAGGTTAGCCTGCTCTACAAAGTTCCAGAATAGCCGGAGTTACATAGAGAAACTCTGTTTCAAAAAGAAAAAAAGGAAAAGAAAAATCACTGATAATTTTTATAATTGTTAAGAATTTACTTCTCAGCTAAGACTACTGTGTAGATACAATGACCGATAGTCTACTTTCCGAATATAAAATAAAGGTGTACTAATTTGTTATACCACAGAAAATTCTTCATATTTATTTTCAAAAAGAAGGGGGAAATGATGCAATTATATTATTAAAGTTAATTAAAAATTAAGAATATAGGGCCCAGGCTGTGGCTAGGGCCATGTCTGGGTCTGTACCCTGCTGCAGCCAGGTCTGCGTTGATGTCTGAGGTTTCTGCTGCCATCAGAGACTATGTCAACGTTTAGGGTGTGGGTCACCACTTGGGGTCATGTGTATGTTCAAGGGCTATGCCACCACTGATTCCATGCCTGTCTGTTTGATCTGCACTGTCACCCAAGGCCATGGTGACATCCTGGACCCTGACTGCTTCTAAGTACCATGTCGGGGTCCACTGTCCAACTGCAGCTGAAGTCTACATGAATGTCTGTGGCCCATGTAGCCACCAAGGGCCATTGCAGACATCAGGAGCCTGAGCTGTCACTTAGGGCCATGCTGGTATCCAAGTGCTGAGCCTCCGCTGAACCATATACATCTGGGTGGCCTGTACTACCACCCAGGGGCCATGGTGTCATCTGGTGCTGCTGCCAGGGGCCATTCTGGGTTCAGGGCCCTGACATAGTCGTGGTCTATCATAGCCAGCGGCTCCTACTACCACTTAAGCCTGAGAAGACAGGGCTACACAGAATTGGCCCCACTCCTCATTGCTGCAGCAATAGGAAGAACTGGCCCTGCCCCTCAGCAACTGGAGCACTTGGGAGAGAGGTTCCTACACCATGCCTGAGATGTACACTAGAGCAGACCCTGTTGGCAGGGGGAGCTCAGGAGAGCCTGCCTGTGGATATGAAAGCAAGAAAACAGCCCCTGCCCCTCTCTGGTATGTCATGTGATGACATGGGTGAGGGAAACATGCCCTCCCCACACCCAACTCTGCCACCCACAGCAGGCAGGAGAGCCAGCCTCAGGGACATGAAAAGGGAGAGCTGGCCCTGGCCCTCACAAACTGCAGCAACCGGGACAGTAGGCCCAGCACCTGCTCTGAGCAAAACATAGAGCTGGCTCTGGTGGTGTGGATGTGGATGAGCCAGCCTGGTGGGGTGAGAGCAGGAGAAGCGGTTCTGCTCCTTGCCGTCTGCTGTACTGGGAGAGCAGTGCCAGAGAGCGCCGCCCATGTGGCAACATGAGGGAAAGCAAGCTGGTTGACCAATCCAGCTACTATCCCAAATCAGAACCAGGGCTATGGGGGAGTGTAGTATGTGGGGCTGGCTTGTTGGGGTATCTGTCCTGCCCAGTACCCCACAGCAGGCAGGCCCCAAAGAAAATCACGCACAAGACTCCATAAGATTATAAACTGATTGGCCCATTAGGTCAGGCTACTTATTAGTTCTTATGACTTATCTTAACCCATTATTCTGATCTATGTTAGCCACACGGGCTCAGTACCTTTTTCAGCAGGGCCGGTTACATGCTGCCTCCTCGGTGATCTGTGTAGGAATGGCTGAGGAACCTTTCTCCTCCCTAGCCTTATACTATTCTCATTACTCCGCCTCTACTTCCTGTCTGGTTGACCCGCCTATATTTCCTGCCTGGCCAATCAGCGTTTTATTAAAATATGATTGACACATACAGATAATTCTCCCACACCAGGGGAGTTTACACCAAAACCCACCTCATCTATGAACTGCTAGAGAATGTAAAGGAGCTGAACCTGTAGATCCAAAGCTACAGGATCTCCATGACACAAGGCAACAACTGGATATCCAAGAGCAGTCCCAGTGAGGCCCCAATATTGATAGTGTAGCAGAAGCCAGAGGCCTTGAACCAGATTAGTAACTCACTGCAATGAACACTTATAAGTAAAGATGTATGGACTAAAGGGCAAACTGTGTGACTCACTGGGTCACACCAAGATTTTTTGCTTGTTTTTGTTTTTTTGTTTTTAAATTTTGTTTTGTTCAGTGTGGGGGGAGGTTGCACAGGCAGAGGGCAGAAACAGGGGACGGGAGATGAGTGGGATTGGGATACGTAATGTGAAGTTCAGAGAATCAATAAAAAGTTTTTAAAAAATTAAGGACAATTTATTTTTAAAAACCTGTTATTCTTGATGGAGGAGGGTTATCTGTCTATTGTGTTATTTTCATTGGTCAATAAAGAGACTGCCTTGGCCCCTTGATAGGACAGAAAATTAGGTAGGCGGAGTAAACAGAACAAAATGCTGGGAAGAGGGCTATGAGGCAGGCGCCATGGAGCCAGCCACCAGGTCAGACATACTGAATCTTTTCCGGTAAGCCACGACCTCGTGGTGCTACACAGATTATTAGAAATGGGTTAATATCAAGATATGAGAGTTAGTCAGTAACTAACTCTCTAGAGATAATGGGCCAGGCAGTGCTTAAATGAATACAATTTGTGTGTTGTTATTTCTGGGACTAAGCTAGCCGTGCGGGAGCCGGGTGAGGCGAAAAGCAGGCCTGCGACCAGCAAAACGAGTTTTGGCTCTATTCTGTCATACTCTCTTACAGTACTCACTTCAGTGAATAGTTAATATTTATGTAAGCAACATATGGACACACTCCTTGTAGCTAAGATTCGTCATTATTTTTCCAACACATTCCATCACTCCTACCATATAGGAACTACTGAATTCCTGTTTCATGAATCAATAAAAGAACAAATGAACAAATGCTGGCTGGAAAAATAATATGGCTCATCTTTGTATGAGTTTCTTTGAAAACATGAATAATGTACAACTTTATTCGTTTATTCAATATTTCACAGTTGCTCGAAATACTACACTCTACTGAATAAAAGTCTTCTAAATATAAAACATTATGTAATATATGATAATTTACATACAATTTTGTTCTGAGTATCTTACATGCAGCAATTTAGCTAATCCACAACCCCCCACAAAGTGGCTACACTAAAGCATACAGACCCTAAATACCTTTATAAAAGTGGCAAAGATTCAAAATGAAGCACGCATCTTCCCAAAATAAATTCAAATTCTGCTGTGAAAAAATAATCATTCACAAGGAGGTAAATAAAAGCTATTAAAAATTAAAACATAGAGAAAAGATATTTTAGATAGAATGAATGAATACACACACACACACACACACACACACACACACACACACACATACACACACAGGAAAAGCTAAAGCTTCAGCACTAACAAGCCAAGTATGCTGACTCAGGTCTATGACCTCTGCACTCAGGAAACGAAGACAAGAATGTGTCGTGTTCAATGTCAGTGTGGGGTACACAAACAGACCATCAAGAAGAAGAAGAGACTAGAGAAGATGGGGAAGGGAGAGAAAAAGAATAAAGAACACTACAACAGTTGGGAGTTTAGGAATGAACAAGGCAAATACTTTGGCAGGAGAAACCCTGTAGCTATGGGAGGAGAAGCAGTGAAGAAGACTAGAGAAATCAGGCATAACTAGTGTCAAGTCAAGGAGATGCAGACCATCTAAGGAGGATGATAACTAAGAGGAATAAGTTAATAGTATCCTATTTCAAACAACTTAATTATAAAGAGAAGGAAAACTAGAAAAATTAAGGAAATCAGAACAAAGATGAATAGTTAAAAGGTACTGCAGAATATGAAATTCAGTGTGGTAAAAATATGAGTTATGCTTTTAAAGGGTGGTCACCTTGGTGTGTAACAGAGATACATACTAAATAAGTCAAGAATGAAGTAATATGGTGTTATTCAAATCACTGTGTAGAGAATGACAAAACAGACTGAATGGTAACAGCTTAAAGAAATGGTTCAAATATGACAATGGTGCTGAATACATGAGGATACATCACATCACTCTACATTCATGTACATGTTGAAGGTTTCCATAAGTAAGAGTTAATTAAAAATGAAAGGCTTAAACCTCCAGCCAAAATAATAAAAAGCTAGATATCTCAGTCAAATCATGAAGAAAAAAATTTAAATGGCTTTTAAAATACCAGACACAAAAGAACACTGAGGGGATCCAGGGCACGAGCCACAAGTATGCACAACAGAGGCTCATAAACTCCCCGTCCTAAGGAAACAAAAGGAAAATCAATAGCAGAGTGGCAGCACTAGAGGAGCGTGCCCAGAGCTCCGAGCTCTGCAAAGGTTTGGACTCATCAGTGCATCTGGGGAAACAACGTAAGCCAAGGAAAGAGGAGAGGTGAGCACTCGAGCTCACGCAGCCTGTGAATAACTCCTGGTTCCCAAAGCCTGAACGAGAAACTTA